CATAAGCATAACTTTTCTGAGGTCCGCGCGGGCATCTTGGATCCGCGCGGGACCCCCCTCCCTGACGCGCCAGGGGCGGCGCCGGAGACGGCGCCAGGAGGGCCCAAGCGCCGAGCCAAGAAATCCGCGCGGGGCTTCGTTCGTTACGTTTATGCAGATATCTGTTCTTCCGCTATGTACATGCAGGTGCTAATTCTTCTTCGACCAGACGCAGAACACTCGTCCCACGAGCCCTCTGGGAGTAGGTGTATTACCGAGTTTTGTTGATTCTCTTTCCACAACCCCTCCTTCCCCTGATCGGGGGAAGGGTTGATCGGTGTTCCCTATTGATATGCACCCCCTCCCCCAAGCGACCAGCAGCCAACTACGAACCATGAGGACCCCATGCTCATAACACACACACACACACGCCATCCTTGTCAAAAAACAATAATACAACACGCACTCCGCTTCAACATGTGGAGCATGCGCGGTCAACCCGATGCGACCCCCACCCCCATCCCTGTCAAAAAACAGACAGAGTACACTTCGGGGCAAAGTCTTGAGTCATGTTCACGAAGCGGGCGATCACGTTGCACTGTTCTTGACAGGGACGGCAGGGGTGTCAGCATATTGCCTGCTGTGAGCAGGGCTATCATCCCCAACGAAAAACAACACAAAATGCACCTCGCGGCTTAAATCTGGGTCATGCGCGGCCATCCCGCGATCAATGTCAAGTGGTTTTTGACAGGGACGGCGGGAGTGGTGGCGCATGGCCTGCTGTGCGCAGACCCACCAGACACAATGATGGGCATTGGCTTTCGACAGGGGTGGTGGCGGCCGACACGTGTCACGATGTGTGCTGTCACGTGCGCAGGCGCACCTGAAAAATCTGCACGCTCCCCGAACGTGGCGCACCTGACGCAGATGGAATGACGCACGCAGAGCACGTGGCGCATCTGGCGTAACAGGCGTGCCTGGCACGCTCGGACCCCAGGAGTGCCTGGCGAGCGTGGCGCGCCTAGCAGCCTAGCACGCGTGGCGCACCTCGCTCCAGCGTCGCGCACATGGGGTCGGTTTTGGTGCCCAGCAGCTGTCCATCCAAAGACGGCCGCTGAGCATGCTCAGGCTCGGGTGCTACCCTTATGCTGGGAGGGCGGGTGGGAGTGAGCCAGACGGCTTGCTATCTAGGGCCCCTTCCCCTGGTCCTGGGAGGAGCCGGGGGGGGGGCACGAGGCACCAAAGCGCCAAGATGGCCCAAGATGCCTCCAAGAAGTCTCAGAGAACCCAATACGGCCTTCAAGATGGCTCAAGATAGCGAATTACAGATGGCTCAAGATAGCGCCCCACATACATCGAAGACGCCCCAAGACGGCCCCGAATGGTTTAAAGTACCCTCCGAGCCCTCCAAAGGACCCCTCCAAGAGGCCAAAGTGGCTCCAAAACCTCAAGATATCAATGATGGCTGCGTTCTCGCCTTTTCGCTGCTGGTGGACTCCTGAAGCCTCGATATGGACAAGACGGCCCAAGAGAGCCCCAAGAGGTGCAAGAGCGCCCCAAGAAGGCCCCATGAGGCAATTGTTGAGCCTCCGAGGAAGGGGGGCTGAACTGAGGACCCCCCTCCTTCTGAGCTACGGGGGCCAAGACGGTCCCGACAGACCTCTCAGACCCGCCCGAAGGGCCCAAAGAGGGCACCAATATGGCCCCAAGAGGGCCCCAAGAGAGCCCCAAGAGGACCTCAATAGAGCCCCAAGATGGCTCCAAAAGACCCGAGTACCTCTCACAACAACGCTTCAACTCGCCTGGCAAACCGTTTCTGATGGGCTGGTGGGGATACGTTTTGATCGCGAGCGCAAACGGAAGGGCCGCGCGCCGTCCAAAGCTACAGCCAACCAGCAGGAGCCTCAATTGCACACGAGAGAGAGGAGAAGAGAGACGACAGGAGAAAAAGACAACAAGAGAGCAGCGGGAGGTGGGCTGGTGGGGATACGCGAAGCGTCAAGAATTGTAGAATTGCTCCCCCTGCTCGTTTTCTCAACCGCCATCCCGGACGTCCGCCGATGTCTTCTTCCATGTTCGGCCCTGCACGTCGGTCGGAAGACGTAGGCAAAAAAAACAGGAAGTGGGAAGACGGATAAAGTGGACTGGGTTCAGGTCCCCCCAGAGAATGACAAACCACAACAAAATGACTATCGTTTAACCGATCCCCATCCCCAGCGGCGTGGCCTGGGCCCGACTGGCCGATTTACCCCCTCTGGATGGGAATATAGGCCGCTCCCTTCGGGTTCCGAGGGGTGTATCTCCAACTGGGTGGGGGTAATGTGGTGGGGGTCGGTGAAACGATACGGACAGAAGCAGATCGATCGTTGAAGCAGGCAGGCGCTAAGAAGCAGAGCGGGATCTGGGAATCCACAAAAAACTACCTGCGTTCAACGGCCGGCGTGTGGAGGTCACGACCACCTCCCCGGGCCAGCGGCTCGCTCTGGATACGTGTTCGCAGACCCGGGGGCTGGGTCGGGCATGTCCTCCTGCAGGGGAGTTTGGACGAAAAGCTACAAATATTGAAAAAAATCCAAACGAGTCAGACAAGAATCCAAACATGTCCCCAGACTAGTTGTTTTAACTATCTTTGATGGTTCCTCCTGTAGAGGGACATGCCCCACTTCACCCTGGGGCTTGATGACGGGCCCCAGAGGCCGAAAGCGAGGAAGCACGCCCTGATGGAGAAAGAACACACTCGGAGAACTGGGTCCTGGATACGAGGCCAGGACGAGAATAAAATCAGGTGAGGATAAATCGAGAATCTCAAGGATCTGACCGCTCTGGAGGACGTCTCGGGCGCCGCGGCCTTCTCAGAGCGCTCCGGAACGCTCTGAGAGCGTCTTGGCACGCTCTGGAACGGATTAGTCCTCGTCCTAGCCCCGTCAGAGCTCTTCTTCTGAAAGCAGCCGTCCTACATGACGAAGACGAAGCCAGGACAAGGTCAACATCGGACGGACACGAATCAAGGACCTCTGCGATCGGGCGGTTCTGGAGGCCGTAGCAGGTGCTGCGGCCGTTCTGGAGCGCTTTGGAACGCTCTGGGAGCGTGCTGGAACTCCCTATCACGATTCTTCCGGGTCCCACTAGCCTCGCCCGAGAGGCAGAGGGGAGGGGCGGCTAACTTACAGCTCGAGGTTCGGGGGACGATGATCGAGGTTCGAGCTTCGGGGTTCGAGCTTCGAGAGGCTCGCTCTCTGGGGAACGTGTGGTCGCCCTGGCGCTCCTGGCCCCGCCCGAAGTGCTCCCCCTGGCCCCCAGTCAGTGGAGGGAGAAAGCCCTGCATACTCCAGATTTCGTCATAGAGGGAGGGGGGTCTCGTTTCGGGGGGGGGGGTCTCTTCCAGGCCATCTTGGAGGGCCTGGGGGGTCTGGGAACGATGTTTGGGAGGGTTCTCTCCCACGGGGGAGGTCTGAATGGGCTTGTCTTGGAATGGCTCCCCTTTCTTACGAAATCTGGAGGAAGTATAACTTCTCGGGGGCCCGCGCGGATCTCTCCTGGGTCGGCGCCGGGCTCCCTGGCGCGCGGAGCGCGCCCCGCCTCCATATAGGGGGGGACCAACGCCGATCCGAGAACTCCGCGCGGACCTCCGAGAACTGATGGTTGTGCCGTGATCTCGGTGTCCGTTCCATGGGAACCTGCGTGGCTCCCAGCACTGTCCAATTTGGGCCTGATTTGGACCGGATTTGGAACACATTTGGACCGGATTTGGACCAGACTTGGACTGGATTCGTGGGGGCCATAGAGCACGAGGAGGGGGAGGGGGAACAGGAGGGGAGAGGAGGAGCAGGAGGATGGGCCAAATGTGGCCCCCACGCTGTCCACATGCAGGAAAAGCTGATTTCAATGTCGCCGCCCAGGGCTCCCATGAACAGACGTCGAATGATGGTTGTGCCGTGGTGTGTTTCGAGTCAGTTCGGGTCAATAGCTGATGTTGAAGGCGCTGGGGACGACTTTACTCCGTATTCAGCTTATCAGTGTTCAAGCAAGCAAGCTTGCCAAAAACGAACGGCACACGACACCCAAAGAACAAACAAACTACAAAAAATCGGGGATCTTCTGACCCGGGTCAGATCCAGACCCCGGTCAGCAGGAAACCGAATACTGCAATGCAGGAACAAAAAAACTGCAACGCAGATCTTCGCAAACCCGGGTCAGCCAATACGCGCGGCCGCCTCGCGGCCGCGAGCGGCTCGCTAACCCGGGTCAGCCAGAGGGGGTCTTCGCAGGATCCTGCAGGATCCGGTGCCCTGGCTGACCCCCGTTTGCATTGACCCCCGTCTCAAGGCTCCCCACAAAACAAAACCAAACCGAAACCGGCGCGAACGAGAACCACCACACGGAAAAACAGCTGACCCCACACCGGAACAAAGAACGCCGACAGCGAATACGGACAACAAAGCTCACGTCTTGAAAGCTGAGCGCGCCCCCAGTCGGGGGCTGCTAAAGGTGCCCCTGGCCACAGGTACCCCTGGCCCAGGGTCTCCCCAGCCCTGGCGTCTTGATATTTTCGACACAGCGTTTCGAACAGCATCTGTTGAGCAGGGACCGGCCGTCCCGCTATTCCTATACTCCTACCATGAAAAGTTCTTAGAACCCCAAGACGATCCCAAAAACAAAGAACAATACTCGTAGAACACAAACCCGGCGTGTGAGGACGAGACAGCCTCGGCCAGAAACGTCCTGACGGTTCGCGCAGACCGCAAAAAGGCTCCTGGGACATTCCTTGGTGGGCCTGTAGGCGAGCCAGGACGCTTCGCAACTGTCGGGTCGGGCGAAAGGGGGGGATAGCAAAGGGGGGGTTTGAGAATCAGCTCACGTAGCTGATTTTCCCGGCGCCTCCCGGCGCCGGAGGCGGCCATGTATCGAGGAATGGGCCCTCGGTGGGGCCGAAACCAGCTGCATGCAGCAAATTTCGTAACCCCCCCTTTCCCAATCCCCCCCTTTCGCCCGGCCCGAGACTGCTTGAGTCCGCGGGCCACCGCTCGCCGCGGCCGAAGTCGGCGCTGGCCCAGGCCCTGGCCACGCGCTCGCCGGCGAAGCGGTCGGTCGGCAGGGCCTCCGAGGGGTCGCTCAGCAGCCAGGCCCAGGCCTCCGCCTGCCGCGGAGGTGCAGGGATCCGAGGCTCGAGGTCTTCGGGCGCTCTCGTCGGATCGAGGCTCGAGGTCCTCCTCCTCCTCCTCCTCCTCCTCCTCCTCCTCCTCCTCCTCCTCCTCCGCTCCTCCTCCTGCTCCTCCTCATCCTCCTCCTCCTCCTCCTCATCCCCTCCCCCTCCTCCTCCTCCTCCTCCTCCTCCTCCTCCTCCTCCTCCTCCTCCTCATCCTCCTCCATCCCTTTTGTTTAGAGGAATACATTATCATTAGCAGTATCGTCATCATCATCATCATCATCATCATCAGCAGCAGCAGCAGCATCATCAACAGCATCATGATCATCATCATCATCATCATCATCATCATCATCATCATCATCATCATCATCATCATCATCATCATTTTCATCATCATCATCATCATCATGATCAGCATCATCATCATCATCATCATCATCATCATCATCATGCTCATCATCATCAGCATCAGCATGATCCTCATCCTCATACTGATCCTCATCACCATCATCATCATCAGCAGCAGCATCATCATCATCATCACCGTCATAATCATCATCGTCAACAGCATCATCATCGACCCACCACCACCACCATCATCATCATCATCATCAGCAGCATCATCATCGTCACCATATCATGAACAGCATCGTCATCATCAGATTCTTCATCTTCAGGAGCGGCAGCATCATCATCATCATCATCATCATCATCATCATCGTCATCGTCATCATCATCGACATCATCATCAGCAGCATCAGCATCAGCCTCTGCACCATCAGCATCATCATCATCATCATCCTCATCATCATCATCATCATCATCATCCTCATTGTCAGCATCATCATCATCATCAACAGCATCAACCTTATCGTCGTCATCATCATCAACAGCATCATCGGCATCATCATGGTCATCACCATCATAAGCATCATCATCATCAGCATCATCATCCTCATCCTCATCTTCCTCCTCATCCTCATCCTCATCCTCCTCCTCCTCATGGTCACCCTCATGATGCTCCGCCTCCTCATCCTCCTCAATCCCTGTTCCTAAAATATAACGTATCATTCCAATCATCATCAGCATCATCATCGTCAGCAGCATCATCATCATTATCATCATCATCATCATCGTCACCATCGTGGTCATCAGCATCAGCATACTCAGCATCATTATCATCATCATCATGATCAGCATCATCATAAGCAACATCAGCATCAGCAGCATCATCATCATACTAAGCATCATCATCATCGTCATCATCATTACCATTATCAGCATTATGATACTTATCATCATCAGCATACTCATCTTCATCAGCATCCTCATCATCATCAGCATCATCAGTATCATCCTCATCCTCATCATCATCCACATCCTTATCCTCCTCATGCTCATCCTCCTCATGCTCCTCCTCCTCCTCATCATCCTCCTCATGCTGGCATCCCCCCTCATCCCCACCCTGGCATGCTCATCCTCATCTCGCCCTCGTCATCCTCCTCCACGCAGGCCTTGAGCCTCCTCCCTCGATCGGAGGCTCAAGGCCCGAGGTTCCGGGTTGTCGGGCGCTCTAGTCGGCACCGGATTGTGGTCCAGGTCCGCGCTCCAGGTTTTGGGGCACTCTCGTCGGTTCTGGGTTGCGTTCCAGGTCCGAGGCTCCAGGTCAGCGGACGGTCTCGTCCGTCCCAGGTCCGAGGCTCCAGGTTGTCGGGCGCTCTCGTCGTTTCTGGGTTGTGTTCCAACTTCGAGGATCCAAGTTGTCGGACTCTCTCGTCGGTTCTGGAATAGGTTCCAGGTCCGATGCTCCAGGTTTTCGGACGTTCTCGTCGGTTCTGGGCTGCGTTCCAGGACGAGGATCCAGGTTTTGGGGTACTCTTGTCGGTTCTGGGTTGCGTTCCAGGTCCGAGGATCCAGGTTTTGGGGCACTCGTGTCGGTTCTGGGTTGTGTTCCAGGTCCGAGGCTGGAGGTTTTCGGACGCTCTCGTGTCGGTTCTGGGTTGTGTTCCAGGTCCGAGGCTCCAGATTATCGGACGCTCTCGTCGGTTCTGGCTTGTGTTCCAGGTCCGAGGCTCCAGGTCATCGGACGCTCTCGTCGACCCCAGGTCCGAGGCTCCAGGTTATCAGACACCCTCGTCGGTTCTTGCTTGTGTTCAGGTCCGAGGCTCCAGATTATCGGACGCCCTCGTCGGTTCTTGCGTGTTTTCCAGGACTGAGGCTCCAGGTTGTCGGAAGCCCTCGTCGGTTCTTGCTTGTGATCCAGGTCCGAGGATCGAGATTCGGGACGCTCTGGTCGGCTCGGGGTTGTGTTCCAGGTCCGAGGCTCCAGATGATCGGACGCCCTCGTCGGTTCTTGCTTGTATTCCAGGTCCGAGGCTCCAGGTTGTCGGCCATCCTCGTCGGTCCTGAGGAGGAGGAGGAGAAGGAGGAGGAGGAGGAGGAGGAGGAGGAGGAGGAAGGTCTCCCAAACAAGCATCGACCCCATCTCCCCCTCGACGCCGCCCCTGGCCTCGGCGGCCTGGCATTCTGGTGCATCCCAGCACGGCAAACGAGCCTCCGGGGAGCAAGCCTCCGTCCTCGATGCTCTGGCGACCCCGCTCGGAAGTGGACAAAGACCCCCCTTCGCAAAATAGAAACCCTTTCGTGCAGACGCCATGGGGACCAAACCCCGCTGGCGCGGGCACGCAGAATGGCGGCCGCAACAGCCTCCCCTGAGATTAGCGAGACAACTGCAAGAGCGCGCATGAATGCGATCAAAGCCCAGACCCCATCTTCCTGCTACACTTTTCGAACGGGCTTGATCTGCGAGAGCCCCAGGGACCGCAACTGGGCGAAAGCAAGGCTCGAAAAGATTGAGACGCCAGGATCTCAGGGCCTCGGGAAGCGACAAAGAGCAAGTCGCCGAACGACTTGGCAGGGTGGGTGTTCTGTCCACCTCCGACACCCCTCCTCTTTTTTCCCGCGGCGAAACGTTGACCGCAGCCTCTGCATGACGATTGTAGGCCACTGGCCACTGACACGTGGCTCGGGGGCAAAGTGGTCCCCAGACGAGCGATGAGTGCCGCACGTCTTCTGCACACTGATGTCATTAGGAAGCACACGACCCTACCTCGCGTTGGACCACCCTCGCTTCCAAAAGATACCAGACGAGACCTAGCTGCCGCCCGCACCGTTCAGGCAGCCTGACGAGGAGGCGCGCGGTATGACTTGTTCTTGCCTAGAAGCGAAAGCGGGGCGGACAATTCACGCTCTGAGTTTTACGATGTCTGCTGTACCAGCCCTGCACTGAACCTGCTGCCTTCGAGGCGCAACGAAACGCTGGCGATCGCGCGAGGCACGTTATGACCTGGCCGCGCGAGGAACGCTGCTCGGCGGACGGAACGCCTGGGGGAGGAGGTGAGAAGGGGCAAGCCTTCTCTGGAATTAAGTCGGGCCTGTCCTCCTACAGGGGGATTTTTGGACGACAAATTATTAATGGTCAAAATCATCCCCCCAAATGGTCAAAAAATGCTAAGAAGATAGGTCCCCAGACTATTTTTGAATCTTCCTCCCTGTAGAGGGACACGCCCGACTTAACTCGAACACGCCACAAGCATAAACTTTTGGCGCTCCGCGCGGATCTCTTGGATCTGCGCTGGACCCCCTCCCTGGCACGCGGAGCGCGCCAGGGAGGGGGTCCAGCGTCGTTGTCGTCTTTGTCATCGTCGTCGTCGTCGGCATAAACATCAACCTTTGGCGCTCCGCGCGGATTTCTTGGATCTGCGCTGGACCCCCTCCCTGGCACGCGGAGCGCGCCAAGGGGCGACACCGGAGGCGCCGCCGGGGGGGGGGACGCAGCGCGGATCCCAGCAATCCGCGCGGGGCGCCAACAGTTTCTGTTTATGGAAGGGGCCTTAGGATACACAAATAAATACACACAAATAGAAATATGCCACATATTTTCCCATATTTTCTGGGTCTTTGTCTTCCCCCCCACTTCCCATATTTTCCCATATTTTCCTGGGAGTCGACGATGAATTGTGTCTGTGTGTTGCTTTTCCTCCTGATCTATGGCGCTTGGTCTTCTTCGATTCTCAGAAGGCGGCGGGGCTTCCCGGAAGCCCTCCGGCCTCCTGAGAAGCCGCCCGCCTTCGAAGGAAGCTCAGAGAATCTCTCAGAAGGCGGGAGGCCATGCGAGCCTTCTGAGAAGGCCCATCCCCCCCTCTCTGACGCCTGGTGGCTTAATTGTGGTCATAGCTCCTCTTTCTGGAGGCCGGTGGGGGCGATCCGGGCACTCCTGGAGCGCTCTCGGCGAGGCGCAGCTGCTGGAACGCATCCCGAGGCTCCAGAACCGCCGAGAACCGGCGAAGACGCCCGGGAACCCCGAGCCTCGAACTTCACCCCCTGGGCGCACCGCCGAATCCTGCATGACGTCTGGGCCTGCCCGGTGCTCCCCGGAGCAGCTCGGAGGGGAGGCTGCCGCCTGCGCGGAGCGAGGGCCTGTCTCCTCGGGCCCCCTCGGCTGGGGCAGCCCAGACGCGCGGATACCGCCACGCCACGTAACCAGAGCTTCGAGGCGAAATTCCAGCGTTCCAGCGGTGGCGACGAGGGCCGCCCAGGAAGCCCCCGTCTCAAGGGGGAAGCGAAGGGGGGGGAGGGTAGCGCTATCACTGCCGATTCCTCCTCTCATCGGCTGCTCCTGCTCCTGCTCCTGCCGTGGCCCGCCGCCGGGTCATGGCCATCGCTCGGACGCCCCTTCCCCTCGCGTTTGTTCGACGCCGCGCGCAAAGCCGCCCGCCCCCGCAAAAATGTCCCAGGATGCTCCCGTGGTCCTCGCCGAGGAGAAGACGCACGCGCCCTAGCGATGCCATGCATCTGGCGCTGCCCACGGTTGAGAAGGGACCGACCGTCCCGGCATTCCTATAGTCCTACGACGACATGTTCTTAGAACCCGACAATGTCCTAAGAACAAGGACAAAAACCATGCTCTCAGAACAAAAGCCCGACGTTACAAACCACGACAGCCCCAACCAGAACTGTTCTGAGAACAGTTCGTGGGAACCACAAAAGGTTCTTAGAACATTGCTCGGTGGGACTATAAGCAGGCCGGGACGCTCCGCCACTGCTTGAGGGGGGGGCCTCGGCGGCATCGCCCTCCCCGGCCGCGGCGGCGACCACCCGCCGTCGCAGGCCTGCCCCGGGCTCGGGCAGGAGGCCTGCCGCGGCCGGAGGGCGCGCTGCGAGGCAGAGCAGGACGGGTCCGGAACGGGGGGGGGGCGCTGCAGCCAGGCCACGGACACTGGCAATCAGTATGAGATTCCACTAAAATGTTAATCATTGGTAGAATCATGCATGTGTTTGCAGATGCTGGTGTTGTAATTATACTTTCATTTAATAATAAAGATGGAACAATAACTATATCTATATATATAATGTTTTTTCCCAAAAGAACCTGCTGCCCCCTCCCGCCCAGCCTGCCCCCCTCCTTTCCGCGCCCCTGGCTCTCCCCCCCCACCCCTTGGACAGAGGGATTTCGTCACGTGATGCGAAAACCCCCCCCTCCCCACCGAATAGCCCTCCTCTCTCCTCCTCTACATCCTCCTTCCCCTACACCTCCTCAGACTCGCATCACGTGACAGATCCAAGTCGCCGACCCCTTGTCCGCGTCGCCCCTCCCCCCCCCCACCCCGCACGCCCGTCCCCACCTCGTCCTCGGGAGTGAGGACGTGGCACTCCTGGCAGGGCACCCGTAGGCCGTTCATATTGTTATTATTAATAGTAGTAGTATGATTATGATTACTACTAATGTAATTCGTGAGAGGATTACTATTCGTAGTAGTAGTAGTAGTAGTAGTAGTAGTAGTAGTAGTAGTAGTAGTAGTAGTAGTAGTAGCCGTAGTAGTCGTAGTAGTCGTAGTAGTCGTAGTAGTCGTAGTAGTAGTAGTAGTAGTAGTAGTAGTAGTAGTAGTAGTAGTAGTAGTAGTAGTAGTAGTAGTAGTAGTAGTAGTAGTAGTAGTAGTGATAGTAGTAGTAGTAGTAATAATATTGGCGGTAGCAGTAGCAGTAGCAGTAGCAGTAGCAGCAGTAGTAGTAGTAGTAGTAGTAGGAGGAGGAGGAGCAGTAGTAGAAGTAGTAGAAGTAGTAGTAGTAGTAGTAGTAGTAGTAGCAACAGTAGTAGCAACAGTAGAAGCAACAGTAGTAGTAAAAGTAGTAGTAGTAGTAGTAGTAGTAGTAGTAGTGGTAGTAGTAGTAGTAGTAGTAGTAGTAGCAGTAGTAGAAGTAGTCGTAGTAGTAGCAGTAGTATTAGTATTAGTAGGATTAGTACTCTTATTGTGAACTATTCGTAAGAGCATTAGTCTTATTACCATTATGATGATTCGCCGTAGTATTATCTCTACGCCTGTAAGCATTCTTTATCGAATTCGTATTACCATAAGTGATAAGTATCATCATGAGTAGTAGCATTAGTGGTAGTAGTAGTAGTAGTAGTAGTAGTAGTAGTAGTAGTAATAGTAGTAGTAGTAGTAGTAGTAGTAGTAGTAGTAGTAGTGGGATGCCTATTACTCTTCTTCTGAAGATTATTACGATTCCTAACTGTTACCATTATTCTTATCATCATCGTTCCTCCTCCTCCTCCTCCTCCTCCTCCTCCTCCTCCTCCTCCTCCTCCTCAATATCTGAGATCTGGCGGCTCTGGGGCATGTCTCGGGCGCCGCGGCCTTCCCGGAGCTCTCCGGGACGCTCCGGGAGCCTCCCGGCACGCTCCGGAACGGATTGACATACCCGTGCCGGCCCCGCTCCCGACAGGGGCAGGGGCACGCACGGCCGGCGTCGAACCGGGGAAGTGGGTCGGGTCGGAACGTGCGTCGAATCGGAGCGCATCGGCTCGGGGTCTGAATCGAATGCTCGCGTCGGGATTTTCGACGAAAAATTAAAGATACCCCAAACAGACTCCAAAAAGGCAAGACAATACTCAAAAAGTCCCCAGACTATTCTTGGGCTATTTTCTGTCTTTTTTGTTTTTCGTCGAAAATCCCCCTGTAGGGCGACACGCCCGACTTAATCGAATGCGCCAGGATGCACGGCAGCTCCATGAGAGTACGCAGCGGGACGCATCGGATCGTCGGGGTATCGATATCGAATCAGATCGATCGGGCCGAAAGGGAGCCCAATGGGAGGGAAGGGGAACGATACAGTCGAAGGTGCTACCATTCGGAACGCCACATGAGGAACGAAGCCCCTACCTGGTCCCAAAGTCGCCTGGGTGCGGGAGGAGCGCTGGAGGAACAATTGTTTTAAGGACCTATAGGGAACAGCGAGCCCCAAGATACCACTGCTCTCCGCACCTTCCAGGGTGCGCTCTGACCGGGACTTCGCGGCGAACCCAGCTCTGGCGACGAGGACCACCCAGGAGCGAGGTAAGGGTAGCCATCGGTCAGAAGAAGTGGGTAGACACATGAAGTAGGACGACGCTGAAAGTAGAGTAAGCGTCCGCCGGCCCCCTGAAGGGAAGGGAAGGCGGACAACCGTTCGACCCTGGAAGTAGGAGGGCGCCTAAAATCCGCCGACCCTGCTGGCGTGTGGAAGATGCTGTTCTGTTTGACTCGACATCCTCGTCGTCGTCGTCGTCGTTGTCGTCTTCGTCGTCGTCGTCGTCGTCGTCGTCGTCGTCGTCGTCGTCGTCATCGTCGTCGTCGGCATAAACATCAATCTTTGGCGCTGCGCGCGGATTTCTTGGATCTGTGCTGGACCCCCCTCTCCCTGGCGGGCGGCGCGCGCCAGGGGCGGCGCAGGAGGCGCCAGCGGGAGGCGCCCAGAGCAGATCCAAGAAATCCGCGCGGAACCGCCGACAAGTTATGTGCATGGCGTTATTTCCTCTTCGGTCTCCGTGGATCTGGCGGGTGGGCCCCAGATCCACGCATCAGGAATGATGGGCCTGTTTTCCACAACCACCACCACCATGCAGTGAGCTGGAGGGGGGAGGAGGTGGAGGACGAGGAGGAGGAGGACGAAGAGGAGAAGGAGGAGGAGGTGGAGGAGGTGGAGGAGGAGGAGGAGAAAGAGGACCCCCTCCCCCTCCAACTTATGGTGGTGGTGGTGGACAACGGGCCAATCGAGGTAAAAAGCAGGCCCATCAAGGAAAACATGAAACCAATGCCGCCCTATGTGGCGACGAACGTCGCCGACGTGGTGCGGAAGCGGGACCCGTGGCTGCCCCGCGCGCCTTCATCCACCGCTTGCGCTTCCTCGAGGAGGCCACCCGTCCCTGTGGCCCTGCTCGGCTGTGAGGCCAGCACCCTCGCAACACCATAAGACGAAGCCAAGACGAGGACACAACCGGATGAGGATACAACCGTAATCTCTGAGGACAGATGACCCTAAACCCTAAACCCTAACCCCTCTCTGGAGGATGTCTCGGACGCCGCAGCCTTCCCAGAGCGTTCCGGGGAGCGCTCGAAGAGCTCTCTGGAACGGATGTGTCCTCGTGTCCCAGCCCCGCCCGATTGTTAGAGGCCGCCTAATTAAATGAGGCCGAGCAGATGGGGTCGGAGGACCGCGTCGCATCGCCGATACATCTCGCGTCGGGCGAAGGGGGGGGATAGCAAAGGGGGGGGTGAGAATCAGCTCACGTAGCTGATTTTCCCGGCGCCTCCCGGCGCCTCCCGGCGCCCATGTATCGAGGAATGGGCCCTGCGGCGGGGCCGAAACCAGCTGCATGCAGCAGATGTCGTAACCCACCCTTTTCCTATCCCCCCTTTCGCTGGGTATCTGGCGCCAATCTGGCAGGCTCAATCTGGCAAACGGGGGCAATCTGGCGAGGGAGCCAACGCGAATCCAGTCTGGCGAATAACCCAAATCCTCCAATATGGCCAGGCCAGATTGGCCCTTGGGGCCCAATCCAGTCTGACAGTCTGGCCTTCGACTACCCAGTTTCGTTCGGCCCGAACATCGACGATGGATCGGCGATGCATCGGAGATGCCTCGGCGACACCAGCGGTGCTTCGGCGCCTTCGGCGCTCTCCATCGCGCCGCATCGCCGGTGCATCGGCGATGCGGCGCGATCCTCTGACCCCGTCCGCTCCGACCCCATCTGGGAGGCCTAGAATCTGGGACCCCCTGGTGCCCCCAGGGCCTCGCGAGAGGGTGCCCTGGAGGCCCTGGGGGCAGGATGGCCAAGGATCGAATCGGGACACCGCATCGGCAAGCAGAGCGGCAGGAACCGGCAAGCAGATCGGCAGGAATCGGACGACCACAGATGGAATTGGGACACGACGACGACTGTGCCGACGACGACGACGACGACGACGACGACGACGACGACGACGGCGGCGACTATGCCGCCGACGACGACGACGACGACGACGACGACGACGCGCGCGCTGCCGGCGCTCTGCCAGGCGGCGTGCGCGCCGCCGGCCTCTGGGGGTGCGCCCGGCCGGAAGCTCGAGGAGGCCCGTGCGGGCCATCTCCGCCTGCAGCTCCACCCAGTCCTGGCCGGAAGGCGCCGGCCGCCCCGCGCCGAGCGCGCCGCACGACGGGCTCCCTTCTCCTGCCTCCTGCCTCCCTCCTCCCTCGTCCCGCCTCCCTCCCTCCTCCCCCTCCCCCCTCCTCCTCCCCCCCCCCCCCCCTCCTCCTCCTCCTCCTCCTCCTCCCTCCCTCCTCCTCCTCCTCCTCCTTCCTCCTCCTCCGTCCTCCTCCTCCTCCTCCTCCTCCTCCTCCTCCTCCTCCTCCTCCTCCTCCTCCTCCTCCTCCTCCTCCGCCTCCGCCTCCTCCTCCTCGCCTCCTCCTCCTCCTCCTCCCCTCCTCCTCCTCCTCCTCCTCCTCCTCCTCCTCCCACTCCCACTCCCACTCCCACTCCCACTCCCACTCCCACTCCCCCTCCCCCTCCTCCTGCTAACGCCGCCGCCGCGCAGTCAGCGGAAGGGGGCTGCCTTGGCGGCGTGCAAAGAGGGGTACGGGGAAGGGGAAGGCTTCTTAGAAGGAGCCTGCTTCTTAATGGCGCGGGCGCTTCATCTACAGAAAACGCCCGCGCCTTTTAAGAAGCAAGACTGCTCCTACCCCGGTTAACCTCGCGAAAAACACTTTCATGTGTAGCCGACTGGCCCCGGGACCGTCAAAACGCAAGTCTGTCGGGGATCTTCTGACCCGGGTCAATCCAGACCCGGGTCAGCAGGAAACCAAAAATTGCAACGCAGAACAAAAACTGCAACGCAGGTCCTCGCAAACCCGGGTCAGCCAATATGCGCGGCCGCCCTCGCGGCCACGAGCGGCTCGCTAACCCGGGTCAGCCAGAGGGGGTCTTCGCAGGATCCTGCAGGATCTGGTGCCCTGGTTGACCCATTTTGCGTTGACCCCCGTCTCGAGGCTCCCGAATCTGGATGGACAACCAATTCCCGGGGGTCAGCGTTGTGAGCAAAAACATCACTGCAAATGTCTGCGCCCGGAGGCTGGTGAGCGCGCCCCCCCCGTCCACATCCCGTCGCATTGTGCGGCCATGGATGCTGCAAGCACCGATCCCTCGCGAAGACAGAGGAAAAAGGAGGGGGGGGAGCGAAGAGAATCCGCGGGCCCCCTTGCAGGGCCACCAGGCTGCGAGGATGACGATTGCAGCTCCCTGTTCCAGTTGCAGCTCCCAGTCTCCACTGTTACAGTCCTCTTTTCTGTTTCCTTCCAGAAACCATTGAAAATTAAAAAATGTTCGCGTCCCCGCAGCCACAATCCCCTATGAATTATGTTATGATGGCGTCCCCGAAGCAATAAACCTTCTGTACATTACACAACGTTTGCGTCCCCGACGCCATAAACTGTTGTAAATGTGCCAATCGTCGAATCCCCGAGGCCAGAAACCTGCGTCGATTACTCAATAGTTGCACGATCGAGGCCGTAAGCCCTCGTAAATTGCAAAATACTCGCGTCCCCGAACGCATCCAACCTCGGACAGTACGCAATAGTCGCGTCCTCGAGGCCATAAGCCCTTTTTTGTAAATTACGTGTTATCCGCTATCCCAACACAAGTCTGGCAAATCCCATTCTAAGAGAGGGGGGCCGACGGCATGGGGGCGAAGCCCTTACGAATATGGAGGAGCGAGGACCGCCCCCACAAAAAATCGGGAAGCGGGCGATGTTCAAGCCACCCCAGAAGCCTTCTCGAGGGGGGCTAGGGGGGGGGAGGGAGGAGGGGAAGAGGGAGGACGGAGAAAGGAACAGGATGGAGGAGGAAGAGGACGGAGAGGATGAGGATAAGCTAGGTGCGCTCGCGCCAAGACTGACATCCGATCCCTCCCCCCCATCCTTTCCCATTGCGCTGATGTTTGTTCATCCGCGGACGCGTGTCATAGCCGACATGACATGGAACGCCACAGAAGACCCCATCGTATCATGCGGAAACGGAGAAGGGGAACTTGTGGGACCTGTGCGACCTGGAGGACTTCCGTGGCCAGTGTGGCAAGTGAGACGTGCGACACCTGTGGGGCATGCGGGACCTGTGAAAACTGTGAGAGTTGTGAGACCTGCGAGGCTTGTCCCTGGGACCTGTCGGACCTGCGGGGCATGCGGGACCTGCGACGCCGCCTTTCGGATTTGTGGGACCTCTGGAGCCTGCGAGAACGGTCGCCGGACTTGTGGGACCTGCGACGCTTGTGGGTTTTGTGGGACCTGTGGTGCCTGTCGCGATTGCGAGACCTGCGAAACAGATGGACAGCCAGTTCGCGCAAATCCAGCGTCGGAGAAAAAAACATAACAAATCCGTCAGGCAAGGTGGAACACACGCAACGCCGCGCGAGTGCAGGGCAGCGGAAAAAGCGACGGGCCACTACGCGGACAGCGCAAGTGGGACGAAGACAGAACGAACGAAAGGAGAAGCAAAACAGGAGCGAGGAAGAGCACGAGCGGACAGGAGGGGAAACGAGGCGAAACGGAAGAGAGGGCAAGCCGCGGCTCATGCTCACACCAGGTGGGAGACGACCGTCCCTTGCCGAACAGCTGAAATTTGAAGTAAGGCTGACCCAGGCTGGTGGGGATACGCGACGCATCTAGAATTTTTGCAATTTCAACAGGCTTGCGCCGACAGCATGCCTTAGCGAGGAGGGGAGGGAAGAAAGAGATGGTCACCGGGAACCCAACGGGTACTGATACCGCTACTCCCCGGCCCTCTCCTGCAGTGCGTTTTGACCCGGACTTCGATGCGAATCCGGCGGTGGCCACGAGTGCCACCCAGGAAGCCCAGAAAAGAAAAGACGCGCCGAGGGTAGCGGTGCGGGTACATTTGTCTCGCCCCAACGCCCACCCAGGAAGTCCTCCGCAAACCCGAGAGGCTTCGAGCCCGCCGCTCGTTGCCGGCCGATCTCGGGCTGTCGCGGGGGGGCGTCGCCCGCGACCGCGCCGGCGGCCACCCTTGGGCACCGGGAGTGGGCCTCTGGGCGGCACCGTGGGCGGAGGAGGGACGGGGGGAAGAGAGAGGAGAAGGTGGATGGGGGGAGGAGTCCCGGGGAGGAGGAAAGGGAACGGAGGGGGAGGGAGGGGGAGGAGGAGGAGGAGGAGGAGGAGGAGGAGGAGGAGGAGGAGGAGGAAGAGGAGGAGGAGCCGGAGGAGGAGGGGGAGGAGAGAGGAGGAGGAGGAGGAGGAGGGGGGAGGAGGAGGAGGAGGAAGAGAGGAGGAGGGGAGGGAGATGAGGGTGGGCGAGAGGGCGAGGACGAAAGAGAAAGAGAAGGTGAAGGATGTTCGTAGAGAGGGAGGATGAGGAAAAGGTGGAGGGGGGGTATGCTGTGCAAGGTTACCACGACGGTGAACCTCCACGCATATGGTAAACACTACGCACAAGACGGCGCGCACAGTGTGGGTAATGACTTGCATGGGAGCTCCTGGAATCCAGAGCGTGGAGCAGCACGACGGCTAGCAGGCTCGCAAACGTCGGAGCCTGAATCTGCACTTGACCGTAGCACGCTGCGTACAAATCCGGTCCCTGGCGCACCGCGGTTTCCGATGGCATTGCTGCTCTTCGCCGATTTGCTGACCTTCTCTTCGGATCATGAGGCCATTGGCTTCCGATGGCCTGCCCTCCGCCACTTCGAAGGCCAGAGGTCCGAGGGAGAGGCGGGGGGCGAAGGAGAAGGAGGAGGAGGAGGAGGAGGAGGAGGAGGACGGGGAGGAGGAGGAAGCAAAAGGCGGAGCGACGTCCACACATCAGACCGTCCCCGGCCCGACCTTCTTCTTTCCCACGTTTTGTGTCCCCTGTCCCCTCCTTGCGGCCGCAGGCAGGCGCGGCGCGCATCGACAGCCTGCGACCTCGCACCGGACGCCAGAGCCGAACGCCAGCAACTCTGGTCCCACTGGCGACCAGCCGTTCGCAGGAGGACGAGGGGCGTCTCCCATCGACGCTGGTGCCGCGTCGCCGCCTCTGCCGTTTCTCCCTCTGGCCCCTTCCCCTCGGGGCAGGGCGCAGGGGCTTCGAGGGTCTCGAGCGCCAGCGGATGCGATCAGCAGCCTCGAGTCTTGGGGAGGAGGAAACGCTGAAGGTGCCCTGAGACACACACACACACACACAAACACACACACACACATACATGGATATAATATATATATATATATATATATATATATATATATATATATACATATATATATACACACACACAAAAAAAAAGGATTCCCCATACTTTCCCATATTTTCTGGGTTGTTGTCTTCCCCCCCACTTCCCATATTTTTCCACATTTTCCTGGGAATCGACGATGAATTGTGTCTGTGTGTTTTTCCCCTCCTGATGCGCGACGATCAAAAACCGAGTTTTAAGCGAGAGGACGTCGCGACCTTACGGGGTGGCCTACGCGAGCCTCCCGCGCAGCATGCCCTGCGCGGGGAGCTTACGCGCCAATGCCGGCGCAGTCGAGCCCGCCGCCTTGCGCCGCTCAGAGGGACGGAAGGCAGGAAGGAGCTGACGAGGCGAGGAGGCCGGAGACGCCACTCGGGTCCCCAGCAGCCGTCCAGGGCGCTCCGCACACCCCCGGGAGTGCCCGCGACGAGGCGCACCTGGCCGACAAAACACCCCAGTCCCCCCCAAAACCACGGCAGACACCCGAGAACACCCACTAAACGAGAACATCAGAATTATTCACTGCGTGGGGATCCCCATATGTGCATCTCCTTGCTGGCGCTCCCTTGGTGGTGGGACTCGGTGAGGACGAATCTGGATTTAAGTGTGACTGAGCTG